ATTAAACATGTTCAGTCCTTCGACACAACTTTATTTTTAGTGTAGTAATTTTATTGGTAAAACACTTTTGTGGTCAAATAAATTAAAACTTGATTTTTTAATCTATTTTTAGGTCAATTGTCATAAAAATACAAACAAACAAATTTTTAAGTCATCAAATCTCGTGTTTGATAATAATGGTTCGATAACGAACCATTGGCGGAAGTAGACTTCGAAACTCTGTTTGGTCAGTAATTTCAAGATGATACACCCACAGTTATTCCACAGCGCACGCGTGCTATTTCTTTATTTTTGTTATAGTCTAAGGTTGAAAGGTTGTGTAGTGTTGTAGACAATAAATATGTCGATTTGGAAAAATAACCCTGAAAGGGCCCTAACTTTATTGGAATTAAAAGCCGAATTGGAGAATCTCAGTGGTATTGATGATGGGGTCGCAGAAATAGCTATAATACCTCCGGACTGTGACGAATTCCCAGATGAAGAAATGATTTATGAGGATGTTGTAACAGATAACCTATTCACTATTTTTTAGTTTTATATCATCTATTACGTGACGTTGTAGGTGACAACGAGATTCGAGAGATCGCCGGTACATTTGAGATTTTTGCTAAAGATACCGTCCTTCTGGAACCTTCCACAAGTAAAAATAAAGTTGCCGGCTTTGTAGAGATTTATACTACGGAGTCATTCAATATCGAACAAACAACAAGTAAATCGTATAAAAAACGTAAAGTATGTAGAGTGACAACTCCAATATGGTCTACAAAACTGATCCGACACTTTTATCAGCACCACAATCACATGAAACTGAAAAAGGGATAGAAATTAAGAACCGTGTAGCCAAAAAAACCCCTTACGAATGTTTCCAGATCTTCTTCGGTGATGAAGTTTACAACTTTATTGTTAATTTTATTATAAAATATGCTCACGATAATAACTGTCACGTTTTTTATTTGACAAATGAATCACTGAAAAGGTTTTTGTGAATACTCATTCTTACAGGATATTACACCTTGCCAACAAAATGTACTGGATCAAGGACCAGGATAAGAACGTCACATTTATTGGGAACTGCATGGGTAGAAATTAAGTTCAGCTTTTTAAAAAGTATATTCACTTAAGTGATAAAACTGTGTTACAAAAAAAAATTATAAATTTGTAAAACTTCGCCCCTTTTTGACATAATAAATAAAAAATTACTGTAATTTGGTATTTTCGCGTATAATTTATTTATAGACGAAGAAATGGTACCATATTTTGGAAGACAGTATTCAAAAATATTTCCAAAGGGAAAACCTGTGCGTTCTGGGTATAAGTTATGGTGCGTCTGTTCATCTGATGGATACCTATTGCAGTTTATCCCCCACGGTGGTGCTAGCACAACAAAATCAGATTTAGGCTTGGGTGCTGATATAGTATTAAAATTACTAAGTATTATAGAAACTCCCTCTAATTACAGGGTATTTTTGGACAACTTCTTTTCATCGTATAAGCTGTTCACACTATTGAAAGAAAATGGAATTTATGCAACTGGCACAGTGCGAGAAAACAAGATTGAAAAGTTTAGATGTTTCCACTGAAAACATCTAAACTTATTGCTAAAAAAGATCTGAAGTATCTGTAGTTAGATGGAATGATAACCCAGTCGTAACAGTAATCTCCAATAATTGCACAGTTTATCCCGTAGATTTTGCAAGGAGGTACGATCGCATGCAGTGAAAATAAGTTAATATCCCCATGCCAATTTGAGGATTGCTGTGCGAGGAAATAAATGGTGGTGGCCACTTTTTAAGAACTTAATTGATAGTTTCATTTTAAATGCTTGGAAACTTTACAGATTGGCAAATAAAAGCTTCATTTCCCAAATCGATTTTCGGTCATATATTACTGTGTATAATGCCTGCAGAAAATGCAAGAAGAAGATGCAGGTAGTGTTCTGATCATACTGTTTTTGTTTGTCAAAAATGCCAAGTCCATTTACACTCTAAATGTTGTGAAATTTTTCACTTAAATAAATTTGTTTTTTTATCTCAGTTTCGCCAAAGGTTCGAAAACGAACCATTTGTTTGTTGTGACACCTGTCAGTATCAAAGTGTAAAACAATTTTTTTACGAATGTTTAAGTTTATTTTACCCTAGTTAATAAAATATAGTTCATATTATTGCAGTATTTCTTTGCTTGGCGGTTAATGGGTTAAACAATTTTCGGGGTAACAACTGAAACGTCAAAATATTTTTTTAAAATGTAATGCACAAGTAAATAATTTCATTTGGCGAATGAATTTAGTGTCCGCAGTCATATAAACACAAACAAATAACAACAACAAATAGTTTCAGAACTTTTTTCAATATATACATAACATTCGTTTTAAAATATAATTCGTTTAGTATATTGTTGATAAATTGCAGTAAATGATAAATAGATTAATATGTGATACAATGTACTATCGTAGAAATTTAAAATAAGGATTTATCGTTATGTTTACAAACAATAATCTAAAATATCGCACTATGAATAAAATACTATCGCAACTCAAAAAAAGTTAATGTGAAGATAATCAATGTTTTAGTTTGACTCACATTTTTATCTTTTTTTTACATCAACCCTATTAATGATAGAATGGTATTGTGAATTAAAACAACATATTTAGATTGACTCGTTTCAGTTAATGTTTTTTAAAATGATAATATAATACACTGATAATAATATATTTGAAGTTAAGATAGTTTTGCACTAGAATAAAAATACGCATTTTGGTATATATGATGATATATGACATATATGATCCTAATTTAATGATAATAAAACTAAAAATAAGATCATTAACATAAGATTATGAATACACAAGTATAAGTTGTATGTCATTTATAACCTAAGACTTTGCTTCATGAATTATTCAACATCTGAGTCATTACTTGCACTGGTGGAAACTGGGAGTCATTCGCAAAAGCACGTGATATTCTTTTTTTGTTAAATTTTAGTGACCTAGAGATAGTAACCCATCTTTTTTCTTTTTACTTATACCCAGGGGTTCATTGTAGGCTTTTTGAAAAACTAGATCTTTTATGCTACATTCAGATATTCGTCTGTTAGATCGGTTAACTAGGATTCCTTTAAATGTGTCCGAGTCAAAGCTTGTTTGTGGATAATCTTTTCTACACTGCAGCACTTTAATATTACTCCATATTACCTTCTCATTATTAATATTGTTTGTAAATTGTTTTCCTATTGTAGTTGTTAACGCTTTAATATCAAAGATTAATTTTGGTGGACTTCGCTTACTAAATAGGGTGTCTGCAGTTCTTGCAGTTCTTGACTGACTCAACGATACCTGTATGTGGGCTCAAATAATTTCATATATCTAAGTAGAAATTGTCTTTGTCGATCTATATTACCAAGCTCCCAATATTTCTGGAAAATTAACTGCCGCTTTGCAATGTCAATATTTTAATGGCATTAACAACTGCACTTCTCATTACACCCTAATTTTATTTTGTTTTTTGTACGAGCTTTCCAGGTGTAGAAATGTAGGAATGGCCTTGATTTACTTTACTTTTTTTAATATTTCGTTTTCATCTTTCGGCTTTTCTAGGTCTTTTTCTACATTTTCGTTTTTCGTCACCTAATTCTTCTGATTTCTTCGTGCTTATTTTTGTAGGTTGTGGTGTTTCGTTAGGTTTCCAACTCTCGTCTTTGTCCGATGATGTATAAAACGAATCTTCATTTGATTGTTCTGCGATATCATGGTCTACAATATTTTCTTCTAGTGACTGATCCCGGTATGTCTGCTGTTTATTCAACCTTTAACTAGTGTACTCACCATGTTTTACATTTACTGGTTGCAATATCTCAAATGATTTCTATGAGATATAATCGTTACTTAATGTTTTACTACTAGCAGTGTCTACTAATAAGATGCTACAGTTACTGGGTAACCGATCTTGGTATGTTTGCTGATTACCCAACATTTCACTAGTGTACACACTATTTTCTACATTTACTGGTTGCAATATCTCAAACGAGTTCTGTGAGCTGTAATCATTAGTTAATGGTGTATGACTTGCAGTGTCTACTAATGGGGTCCTATAGTCCCTGGGTAACTGATCTTTGTATGTTTGCTGATTGTCCAACATTTCACTAATGTACTCATCATGTTCTAATAATGGGATGCCACAGTCACTGGTAACGCTTGCGACATTAAGCTCATCGGTAGCGTAAGAAAACAAGTTGACAAATTGTGAAGCGGCTCTAACATCCTTAATATTTTTGAAGCAACTAATGTTATGATCTGACTCAGGTACTGGTGCTATAGCTTCGTTCTAAAAAAGAGCAATAATTAATAATTACAGTATACTATATTTACATTATTTTCGAGCAACAATTAAACAAGCGTGATATTTTATTAGAATATTGTTCATAAAAACCTTTTCATTTTAACAAAAACAACACAAAAATATAATTTTGTTTTTTAAAATAGATAATATAAATTTTACTTACTTCATTAAAAATAGTGCGTTTTCCAGTTATGCTGACTAACAGTTTACGTCTAGACCTCATTTTTACAGACACAAACTGATCGTTGTTGCTGCTAATATGAAACTAAAGTCATAATAAAAATAATATATAAGTAGGGAAATTCTTTTCGTTATGTATAAATATTGTGGGTGTAACACTATCACATTTTGATATAAGGTACCAAAATTTATCGCCGCGTATGATAAATTTTATTAGATGTAAGACTATCATATCTCTAATGGGATCATCATCATCATCATTTAACCCGGATCTATCCACTGCTGGATATAGGTCTTCCTCAGTCTTTTCCATGTATTTCTGTTTTGTGCTGTTTGCATCCAATTTTGTCGATCCGTTTTATGTCATCAGACCATATTGTTGGTGGACGACCTCTACTTCGATGTGCTTCTTGTCTCGGTCCGACATTATCCGACATTCTAGCTATGTGCCCCGCCCAGTTCCACTTAAGGGTCATAGTTCTTTCTATGGCATCTGTCACTCCTGTTCTCCGTCTTATTTCCTTGTTCGTGATCCGATCCCTACGAGAAATGCCTAACATCGATCGTTCCTTGGCTCTTTGTGTAACACAAATTTTATTTCTTACTTTTTTGGTTAGTGTTAGTGTCTCTGCACCATATGTAAGTACTGGCAACACGCACTGAATAAAAACTTTTCTGTTAAGACACATAAGCAGTTCTGATTTAAAAACATAGCTCAGCTTGCTGAATGCCATCCAAGTGAGTCCTATGCCGCGGCTTAGTTCGAACGTTTGATTATGTCTTCCTATGCGTATCTCATGTCCTAAGTACTTATAAGAGGTGGTTTCATCAATATGCATGCCATTTACTAAAATCTTTTTGCTTAACACAAGATTTGTCATGATTTGTGTTTTTGTGTGGTTGATTTTTAATCCAACTTGTAGGGAGGCTAGGTATAGTTTTTCCAGTTGCGATACTGCATCATCGATTCTGTCAGCAAAAAGGACAATATCGCCAGCAAACCTTAAATGACTAAGCATTTCTCCATTGATATTAATTCCTTTTTCACTCAGATTTGCGTTCTTAAACATATGCTCTAATAATGTTTTAAACAATTTTGGCGAAATTGTGTCTCCCTGTCGCACCCCTTGTTTTATTTTAAATACGTTGGTCTTTTTATCTGCCAGTTTTACACTTGCTGTCCCATTTTGATAGATGTTTTTTATCATGTTTATATAGCGATGATCTATACGGCACTCTGTTAAGGCTTTTAACATCTTTTGATGACTTATTGTGTCGAAAGCTTTTTTGTAGTCAACAAATATCATGACTAATGGTTTGTTATATTTAACACTCTTTTCTATTAAGTTCTTAATTACTTGTAAATGATCATTCGTGCCATATCCTGCTCTAAAACCTGCTTGCTCTCTTGGCTGATAGAAATCCAACTTACTTCCTAGCCTGTTGGTAATAACTCTTGTAAATAGCTTATATACTTGTGACAATCTAATGGGGCGGTAGTTTCTAAGGTCGCTGATATCTCTCTTCTAATGAAGTAAGATGATTTCCGCGTTGTTCCACTGCGCCTGCGTCGGTGTTATCGCTTCGCACAGACATTTATTGAACAGTTTAGCAAGTGTCAGTAAGAGCTTATTTCCTCCTAGTTTTAGGCTTTCGGTCATTACCCTGTCTTCACCTGTGGATTTCTTGTTCTTCATAACCCAAAGCGCATTTTTAATTTCGTCAACAGTTATGTTCGGCATGAATTCTGAGCCTTGATTCTCTATCTTTGGTAAAGGGCGTCTTTCATCGGATTCACTTGTTTCATAGAGTTGTCTGTAGAAGTCTTTCACTGTTTTCACTATTTCTTCCTTATTAGTCACAATGTCGTCTTGTTTATTTCTTAACTTATGTATGTTCTTTTTTCCTGTGGACATGTTGTGTCTTAGAACTTTCAGACTTCTATTTTTCTCTATCACCCTTGTCACCTCTCTCATGTTATGTTGCCGTATGTCTTTTCGTCTTGTTTATTTCTTAACTTATGTATGTTCTTTTTTCCTGTGGACATGTTGTGTCTTAGAACTTTCAGACTTCTATTTTTCTCTATCACCCTTGTCACCTCTCTAATGTTATGTTGCCGTATGTCTTTTCGGATTTCTTTGTTTATTGTTTTACTGAGTTGACTAAATTGGACAGCACAACTTCTCCGCTTCTTTAAGGGCTTTTACGATACTTTCGTTTAAAACTTCGACCTGTGTTGATTTGTTGTTGTCTCTCTAATGGTGGTGTTGGTGATCTCTAATGTGATAGTCTTGCATAATAATCGTAAGCGTTATACTCTTTAGAATTATACCATGAAAATTAAATTTGTAATTATGATAGTTTTTTCCAGATTATCTCTGAAAATAATTTTTTTTTACATAAGATAGTATTGCACTCATAGTGTGATATATAAATCGTTGTGTAAATGTTAATTTTCTTAGTTTGGTATAAGTCTTTCTTAAGTTTTAAAAATAATCTTCCATAAAAAAAACTAAGTAAAAAACGATTGAGAGTAAACTACACTTAATCTTCTAATTTAAATTGAGTATAGTATGTTCTATATTTATTCTGTTATACATTTTTTAATTGCTATTTATACCGTAATAGCTTTTACGATCTTGTCATAATAATTATCGTTAACAAAAATAAGCTCCCTTTATCAATGTCCTCTCCGTTAAGCATGTTCGTTATTTTCACATTACCGAGGGTAATTACAGTAATTGCGCTCTTTTTGTTTTTGTTTCGAAGAGGTAATGTGCCTATCACGAGAAAAAAAGAAAATAGAGATAGCTTGTGTATACATGAAGGCATGGTAAGAAAGAACTTTTCTTGACTCACCACCATCCGAACGAAATGAAAAAGCAGCCATAAAATATACGGCTTTTGGGGCGTCACAGACTTGGGGTCGGCAACTGATGATACCGAACTTGGGAGAAAATAATTCTACAGAATGGCACTGGCCCCCAGTTATATTTCCCATAAATCTCAGTAATTACGTAGAAAAATGATCTGATGTTTCCAAATCACAAATCTCTACTTAAATCTAACTTGCAACAAACATTTTTCGGCAGAGCTGGATTGAGATGTTCATGTAGCTTTAATACTATTATATCATAGTAGAGTAAATGATGAGAATTTAAATAAAAACATAAAGTCGTTATTAACAAATTTATAAAAGTTGATGTACAAACTTAAATAATTAAGAACTATGCTTACTGTAACAATAAAACACTAAAAACTTTGTTTTCAAACTTCCACAAAATTTATTTTAACTATTATCACTACAGCTGTTTCGGCTGATTGCCTTTGTCAAGTGATCTATTTTTGGCATGCGTTTACAATTTATAGTCTCTAATGAAATAGGTTGAGGAGGGGAGAACTGTTTGTCTCAAGTTGGTCATTTAGAATTATATCTGTGTTTTTTAATTTGTTGATTTCCATAGATTCTAACAAAGATAGCTTAAGGCCTTTATTTTGAATGTGAAGTATTTTAAATTTGTCATTAAAAGAATGATTATGATCTAAAAGGTGAAGTGCGTATGTCGAATCTGTTTTTCTATTATTGAAAGCCCTTTTATGTTCTGCTATTCGTTTATTGAAATTTCTACCAGTTTGACTGATGTAAGTTTTTGGGCAGTCGCCACATTGAAGTTTGTACACACCAATATTTAAGTGTTTTTTATTTTGGCTCTTGTTATTTTTAATATATTTGCCTAGGTTGTTATTTGTTCGGAAAGCTGGTGTTATTCCTTTCTTTATTGTTAAATAAAATGAATTTCCATCAAGTGACGGTCGAATCCATCAATTACTATGCTTACTTCTAAATTAATTTTAATAAGATGCTTATATGGGGTTAAGCCACAACTAAGGGTAATGAAAATACCATTTTTAAATAACGTTTGACGTTTCGATTTCCACTTTAAAAATCGTTCACAAAAAAAGACTTTCTTAAAAACTTACGGGAACATGTAGAACCAATAAGTATTTAGTAAGCTATATTTTATTTTTTTGAACTTATGGTTGACTTATTTGGTCTCGAACTTGTAGGTAATAACCTTCTTTTGATGGGAAATTTCAAATTCTGGCTATTTTGTGTGTTGTTTTATTTGTTTGTTTAATGTGTGTTTAACGAATATTATATGTTCATGTATTATGTGTTGTATATATGTAATTATAGAGACTTCTGCAACATCCTTTAATCGGTATTGTTGATATGGTCTTGTTATTGACTTCTTCTTTTAGTATTGGCAACCAAAGCCTGCTATATTCTGGTGATACATTCCTTCTCCTCAATCCTTTAGCCCTTGTCAGGGCGTAGTGACACCCTAAATATTATTAGTCTGCTGTCTCCATTGACTGCGATCTTGTGCCATATGGACGGCTTCATGTAGGGATTTTTACACCAAACTCTTCATTTGGTCCACCCATCGTATTGGAGATCTTCCTCTTGGTCTTCGGCCTTCTACCTTACCTTCTACTACCAATAGTTCCATGGTGCCCGTTCTTCTAGCTATGTGGCCGAAGTAAGTTAGGTATGCTTGGTTTACTTTTTTTAGTAGCCTGTCTTTTATATGAAGCTCTTCCAGAATTGACAGGTTGGTTCTATGTTCTGTCCAGGACACGCGTAGAATTCTTCTATATACCCACATTTCGAAGGCTTCGATCTTACTCCTATCGATTTTTTTGAGAGTCCATGTTTCAGCTGCATATGTAGCAATGGGAAAAATAAGGGCATTGACCAACCTAAGCTTAGTATTCCTTGTTATTGTTCGGTCTTTCCATATTTTAATTAATTTAGCAGTTGCGGTTTGGGCCATTCCTAGTCTACGTTTGATTTCTGAGGAACAATCACCATTGTTGGTTATCAGAGAGCCCAAGTATACAAATCTGTCGACTACTTCGAAAATCCCTATTTGGCGTATATGCGGTAGATTATTATTTGCTCTGTCTACAATCATTATTTTTGTTTTTCTGGTGTTGATTTGAAGTCCGAATTCTTCACTTATTCGGCTTAGCCGTTCGATGATGGTAATCATTTCGACTTCATTCGCTGCTAGTATAAGTGTGTCATCTGCGTATCGCAGGTTACTGATTTTTCTGCCTCCTATAGTGATTCCTCCATCCCATTCATCTAGTACTTTTCTCATTATATATTCAGAATATATGTTGTACAGTAATGGTGATAGTATGCAACCTTGTCTAGTTCCCTTCTCTGTTTTGAATGTATTTGAATATATTCCATGTACTTTAACTTTGGCTGAGTTTTTATTATACAGATTTCTTATTAGGTTAACTAGGTGGTTAGGTACTCCCATATTTTCCATTTTGCTCCAGAGAGGATCCCATTTTACTGAATCAAAAGCCTTTGTGTAATCTACAAAACAGAGCAACATTGGTATGTTATGTTCTCTCGCTTTTTCTACTATCTGTCTGGTGTTGAGTATTTGCTCACGCGTTCCCTTTCCTGGTACAAATCCACATTGTTCTTCGGCTATCTCTGAAAGTAGAAAGTTCTTTAGCCGTTCATTGATTATATGTAGCAGGATTTTGCTTGCGTGAGGGATAAGGGCAACAGTTCTGTAATTACTGCATATGGTTAGTGATCCTTTTTTATGGATAGGGATCAAGGTTGATTCACATCACTCATCAGGCCATTCACCTGTGATCCATATCATGTTGCACATATCCAGCATTACATCTACGCCAATTTCGCCTATTGCTTTTAGAGTCTCCGCTGTTATGCCATCGATTCCTGGAGTTTTTTTGTTTCTTAGTTGGTTAAGAGCCTTCTCTACTTCTGCTCGTAAAATGATTGGTTCAGCCTCTCTGATTGCATGTTTTTTCTGTTCTGAGACTGATGCGTCATCTTTTGAAGTGTCTTTGTATAATTCTGAGCAGTAATTTTTCCAGGTCTCTGCGATGCTCTCTATGTCGGTTTTTACTTCTCCATTAGAGTCTTGAATGGCTTGAAGTTGTGGCTTGAACTCTCGGGCTAAAT